CTCTTCTAACAGGGAAAACCATTTTCTGCCACCACTCCATCACCTTAATCTTCACCTTCCCCCGCCGATTCCCTCCGCCGAGTCGACTCAATGCCAGCCTTAACCCGGCCAGCCCTACTCTCACGCACGCAGGCAGTAGCTTTTAGAGAGATTTGCTAGTTCTTGGAAATCTTGTGAGAGTTTCACTTTGCTTTGTGTTAAACTGTGTTACTTTAACGGTTATTATGCCACTTGGGCGTGGGCTCTGTATTTAAAAGAAAAAAAAATTGATTTAATTTCAGAATGGTCATTGATGTTCAGGTAATATTTCAAATTGATCAATAAGTATTTTTATGATCGAATTAGTCACTAAAGATTAAAGAAAAATACATAATTAGTTACTACTTTAATAGTATCCACTCCAAATCTATCATCGACTCGTTAAACCAAGATATCTATTAACAATTGTCGTGTCTAGTTAGTGAAATCACAGATCTTCGAAATAACACTCGATTCTTAAAAGAATAAACATTGTTTTTAACCAAAAATTATAAATCATAGACCATTCCCTTAAACGCTACTTTATATTTTTCATCAATAATAAAGTCATGACAACTTGGCTTGAGGGACTCAAATCGTTTTAATAGTCGTTACTCAACAAGAGCGGAGTTAGAGGAGACAAAAATTTCTACTGATACATAAAAAAATAAAAAATTGATGGGCTTGGGGTGGGGGGAGGGGTCCCTATGCCCTTGTTACTCAACGAGGTGGTTTGACAACTACTACAATGAATATGGTCTTAATCAAGGCTAAAGAGATGCAACATTTTAAACTTTATGAATAATTGGTTATATAAATACTTTAATGACCAATTTAAAGTTTTGTTGGACCATTAGTGAAATTAACCCTTTTTAAATGTCTTCACCAACACGTGACATTTCAGATTTTTTGATGTTTTATTTTAGTTAGGAAATGAAATTTGGACACGTTTGTCTGTCTACGTGGATCGTTGATTATTTTCTTGATTTTATTGTCTATGTAGACTTTTACTTGTTTGATTAATGTGTGTCGTGTCATTAGATGAGTGGAAAATGAGTAAACAGTCACTCACTAAAATTTGTCCGAAATCCCCAAAATCTTATAAATGGTAAAGGTTATATACATAACAAAAAGTTACTTGAGTTTGAATTTCTTATCGAGATATGCAGAATGGTTGAATGGTAAGAACCTTCAAATCAAAGATAGAGGGGGAGAATGTCACTCGAGTAATGCTTTTTATAATTACTGATCTCATTTAAATTATTGCTCATCACAAATGATAATAAATAACAAGACTCATTACACTTCAATATTTACATATTCACATTCTTAAAATGTAATTTAAGTTTTGATAAGTTAACGAACTCACATACATGTGGACACACTCGGCCACAAAACTTCATGCACTCGACAATGTCTTTGAGCTTGAGCTCTAGCCATTACTCATTTATAATCTAGAGAAAAGTTTAGTTGTGTGAAGTAAATAATCATTAAATATATAATATTCTATTTCTCAAGAATGAACGAACGAACACA